GTATTCTCATTGTGTATTTTTCCCTTCAAACTCCAACGTTTATTCTACTGCATAGGATTAGCGGTGTACTTAACAGGTAAACACCTACGAAGCCATTGAGAGTCCGTCACAGCGGACAAGCTGAATCCCCCGCAGTACACTCAAGGATCCGGCTATTAATATAGCATCGCCGATACCCCTTTACTTCTGCTCAGAGCAGCACGGCGAAAATTCCTATCGTAAAAACCCGACCAGTCTCTTACGGCTGAATGGGATCACAAACAGGTGTGATTTGTTCGAAACGAACCGCTCTAGACAACTTCGACAGGCTACAGACCACCAAAGTCTAAGTTTTATCAGGTATATTTAGAGGAAAACAAACCTGAAGGTAGACTTACGGCTGTGCACTTCTCGCTTGATAGCCTGTTGGTATGCTGCGGGGATATTGCCTGCGTTGAGTTCAATGGTGTACAGCTATCAAGAGGAAATTTCGTAGATAATACTATCACGAATATCACTTTTCATGCATTTCTAAGTATTCTGAGTAGTCGTATTGGTGGCGTCGGTTGGGTGGTATCCCCTACTATGTGGGGACGCAATTGTACAAATGAAAAGGGCGCATCGCTGGCGGGAAACAACAGTGGCTTCAAAGGACTTTCGCGCACAAGACCTGAATAGCTCGCATTCTTAGCGAGCAACAGTAAATCAAAATTAAAGGGAAGTCATGAAGTGGATGCGACTAAGATTCTGTTGCAAGTGGTGCACTTTCAACGCCGGTGGAGTGCGAAGACCCGCGCAAGACAACTCAGGGCGCAGACCACACAGAAGTCGTTGTTGTTTCTAAGGTTAGGGAGGACCTTACAGAATATCAAGTGCTTTGTGTCTCAGCAAGCTGGTTGTGATGTGGTGACCGTGCAACTGAAGTTTGACTCGCTCGACAGTACTGGAGGAGGGCGAGATGTAGCAACTCTCGCTAGCCCAACTACACGATACATTGTAACTCCTGCTGGCCCGATTAAACAGGAACGTGTAGTCCGGTATCGGATCAAAACAGCAGGCAACAGCGCATTTGGCGCCCTTCGCTATGCAAGCCGCGATGTAGGCTTCGTGCACCCCACAGGAACAGCCAAACCGCCTGCATTGAAACGGCAAGTGAAACCGGCGGCAAACACCCCAAAACGTATCTGCTTCGAAACGGATGAAGTGTGCTACCGGCGAGGGGTGCTTGCGCGATATGGATCGTCTACTGCAGTCCACTACACCTGTTGATACGGCAATGATACAGCGAGGTTGGCAAGCTTTTACGTTGAGATTAACAGTCGTGCGTTTCTGCCAAGTTTGTTTCCCGTCTCTCTTTTGAGTTGTTTTAGAACCCGCAAGCACAACGTAAGGCGACCAATGTGGTTCCTTGTAGGCCAGCTACTGCAAGAGAGCTCTGTTTCAACAGGAACGGTGTGGGACTCGCATGGCGATCACAGCAGCCTCGTCTGCTTTATGAGTATAAAGTTGAATTTTAGTGGAATGTAATACAGGAGTAGCTGCATTTTCATTGTATTCTATTCAGTTTCTTTTTCTAAGGGGGAAAGAGGCCACTGCCGGGCAGTTGTTGGAGCGTGGGCATCAGTGTTGCCCCTGTGATCGGTTCCTAGATCATTCATGTGAATGTCTCCCAAAGCATTACGTGCCAGTGGAACTTTAAGCCATTGGTAAAGGTGTCCAAGCACACTTACAAGCCTGCCGGCTCACTACTGCTGTCCCGCGTACCAGTGGTCCTACGAGTAGCAGAGCACAAAGCGGTGATCAAGGCAGTGTTTATTTGGCATTATCTGCAGCTTTTACGATGGGTTGTAACACAAGTTGTGCTTCTTGGGGCAGACAGCCACGCTGGGCAGATGATGGAAAGCATCGGGGCATAATCATCACCGAACCGCCAAGATCTAGACGAGTGGATTGGGTGAAGTCTCCCAGTGGAGAAATAACAATACTCACGAGAGAAGGTGTTAAGTCATTTGACAGCTGGATGCGTACTAAGGACTTCAGACAGCTCATGCCACCGCTGGCGCCTCACCCCAAAGTGCCATTTCTCCCCGGGGGAATTCCTGATGTTGCTCTCCTACGCAAAATGACAATGATGCACGAGGGCATGTTGAGATCCACAGCAACAGGGAGGACAACTGGAAGTTCTTTGTTTTGTACTCCAAGTCAAGAGACACCTCTCGTCATTTACGAGGACTGAACCACGGAAGAACCACAGTGTCACTTGTGCAGGTCTTCACAAACTGCAAAGTCCTTCAGGTGGCTCTAAAATGGGTATGTTTTCTCCGCTTTGGCATCCCTGGACACATATAATCGATAGTGGTTTGAAGAGTGTAGCAGTGGCCGACGCCTACGTGGTATAGATAAACAGGGACCACGCGGAAGACTTGAGGCGAGCCGAATGTCCTTGGGTCTGAGCGTCGGATCGTAAAGAAGGTACTGACGATTATGCGCTGAAGCTTTTTCCTGAAGTATTCTTTTCAGTGAAGTGAGTGTCGTGGGTACTATTCACATTTCATGAGGAGTCAAGAAGAAAGCCTTGGAAGAATGCGTCGCAGAATCATGCTTGAAGCCGTCGTGACCGAATACTTCGCAGTTCATAGGGAGCATCCCCACTGGTAATGCTGTGGATAGATCGTTCCATGAAGTTGCTTGTGGCTGTTCTGCATCGTTTCTTTTTAGGAAGTTTGCACGTGCTTTGAGTCTGCTCAGCAAAGGATGAAGGATTTTCTTTAACGGGCGTTGGCTCTTGGGTTCAAGCATCAGTTTCGGAGTTGCAACAATGCAGCGTATGCGTTAAATCAGTTGGAAGCGTAGAATGCGTTGTGAAGATCTCGTTTGCGACTGCATGACGCATGCAGTAGTTTCTTGTTACTATCAGGAGTTGCGACGGTCAATTTGGTCCACCTGTGTAGCATTAGCTGACCTGACTTGTAGTAGGTCGGCGTTACGAATGGGACTGGAGACTCTGTCGCAGAGTCACTGTGCAGCGTAACGATTGCCGAAAGCAAACTTGTCAAAGCCGTGCATGGAACTGTGGCGCGAAGTATTTCGAATTATATGTGTATGGCGTCTCTGGTTTGCGCAAGGAACATGGTGGCACCACGAGTTTCAGCAGCAGCTCCACAGTTGTTCCAGTAACGAGACAAAAGGCCGCTTCAGGATTTATTGTGTCTCAAGAAAAGCGCCAGCTCAAACCGGCCTGTGCAGGGGATCTTGCTGAACTTTGGAGATTGCAGTCTCAGAATCTTAAGGACATGTATTTAGTTATTCCTTGGGTTAGTACAGTCATTCGGTGCCCTCTTGAGAGAAGGGTTTGGAGGCGCATTATAGGTGAACAGGAGTCTGGCTGTGTAGTAGCTTCAGCAATATAGCCAAGAGTAGACAACCGTTCCACTGTAGCTGAACCGTACAGTAGTGGAGAGTATTACAGGAGAACAAACGAGGCAAAAAGTAAACGGTCAGCCATTGATGCAACAGTGCTGAAGCATCAGACTAATAAGGTGGTTCACTACAGTACTTAGGCGGTGAAGCTTGTTCAGGGCAGCAGCGTCCTCTAGCGGTGGGTAAATGCGCCAATCACGGCGTGGATATGCCAATGAGAAAAGTTGCGCTTGGTGCGATTCCAAAGGCAATTCGTGTTTCATTGAGAGAAGCACGAACGACGAAATAGTCTCGAAATTATATGGATTCTGGCGGACTATTTTACTTTACTTTCTACAGACGCCCACTGCGAAGTGTGGAAATGCACCGTTGGCGGGTCTTACTAGTAAGCAGGTGATGTAAGCATGAGAATGCCAATTAATCAAAAGTGTCAGCAGGAAGCGCAGAGGCCAGATCTGGAATGCAGGGGATTCATTGTGAATCGCCAGGTCCTCCAAGTTACAGAAACTTTGTACTATTTATTTCATGTGGCTTTTGCGTTCGCCTGGCTGTTCTAGGCTTTGCGAGAGAAGAGTGAGCTGGCGACTCTGTGGAAGAATGCAAATTTATTGCCAGCGACAGGCGGCGACCATCGTATCTACTGCGACATCTCTTACACAGTCAAGCTATGATGTCCTGTTCTAACCCCTGAAGCGGACCGCCACGTGCCGAAGATATTAACGAATGCGGTAGTCTTGGTTGTCAGATTATTTATTCTGAATGAGCTGATCCAAGGAGAAAGTTCCCCTCTGCTGAGCAACAACAGCCAACAGTTGCGTGGTGTTGCGTAGGGTCAACAACCTCAATGTTGCGTTTACTTTTCACGTGGTATCCAGCGGGCCATTCTCATGTAGTTCTCAGTATTTACTAGATTACCTAAGAGTATACGGGTGACAGAATCCTACTGAACAGCAGGCGATGGAAGGGAATGCCGCGAGTGAGCCGGTTCTGGGTGACAATTGCGGAACAGTTATACCAAGACGAGCTGAATGAGAACAAACTTATCGGAAATGGTTAGGAACCTCTCAGGCATCTGCACACAAGTAAGGCTCACGTCACGGCACAATCGGCAGCAGTGTAGGCACTGGCAGCTCGCAGCCTTTGCTCTAAAGCAACACTAAACAGACACGGACAATTAGCATGCCTCCATTTGAGCACACATATTATTCTCTCACAAGACACTACTTGGTTCATGAGGTAGGGATCATCGCTCTATTGGCTGCTGAACTCGAGCAGCCTTGTCACTGCATTGGATTGACCAGAGAAAAGAACCGATTATCTTGTGCGCGAATCAACTGATTTGGCAAAATTAATAATGAAACTTATTCAGTCTCTCATTTCCAGTTTATATATGAAGCAGAAGCAGCAAGTGAATCTCATCACTGGGATAGCTTGCAGCTTCATTGCTCGATTGCTAGCGGCGAGCCGAGGCACACCACCTTCCTAGAGCAAAGCGTTGTTCTTCACATGTGTTTTTTTCCAGCTTCTCACCTGAGGTTCCTTATCTTTTTTTCCTCCATGTTGATTCACATTTAACCATTAGCCTTTCTTACTTCCCAAGGATGAAGGTATACATTTGCGTCGGCGCGATTGCCTTAGCGAGCGCTTGCCGAACACAGGCTCTTCGACTGAGCAGAAGTTTTTTGAGTAAGTTTAGAACTGCTCAAGGTCCAATACACTTCAAGGAAAGAAAGAAGGTTTCCGAATACCCTTCCGTGACTGCGCTGCCTGTGTGCTCAGGTCTCTCCGCCGAAGCTGTGAGTGACTTTTTTTAGGCATTTGCCTCGTTGCTCCAAACAGACGCGGCTTATTTGTTGAATTGAAGACAGGCGCTACAATTAGTAGACTCGGCCACAGGCGAACCGGACTTGCGGGGAGCCCAACGAATTTTACGATCATATGTTTTGACCGAATCTTAGAGGATGTTGCACAGAAGGCAGGAAGCATTGTAGATGTATTTGGCAGCTGAATGCTAGCGTGCTGTGTGATTGCAGGAATCGACCACTAGACTGGCGGCACGCCGCGAATCGCTGCAGGATGCTCTGGATGAGGAATGTTCCCAGCAGGCGTCTGCTGCTTGTAGAAGCGGCCTACAGGATTACTGCAGTGGGACTGTGTATGCAAGATATGACGGTGTGAAAGGCAGTCCTTCTTCAAAACAATGGAGATGCTATACGGATGGAGCGCTTGATCTTGAAGCCGCGGGGCCAGGCTGTGTGGACAGTTGCGGAGCGGCGACAATGTGCCTTGGTGCATTCAACAGCAATTCAGTTGCATATTTGACCCGTGCGAGTGAACTCACCAACATATTGAACTCGCGTACACAAGAGTTCTGCAGCGCCCCAGCGCCAACGCTTCAGGAGGCATTGGACAGGAAGTGCGCACAGTTCGGCAAGGACTCTTGCAACAGTGGCCTCGTTGCATACTGCAGGACTGCCGTTTATGCGCGTTACGATAAAGGGAGCAGCTCGCAGCAGACAAAGGCGTGGCGCTGTTACGCTGAGAAGGAACTCGACTTCTCGAAGCCTGGTGATGGCTGTGTGGACGATTGCGGCAATATCACGTCATGCCGCGGCAGTGTGAGTGGCTATTCAACATCCCACCTCACTCGCCCTTCCGAACTTCAAGCGGTCATTGACAGCGACAAGAGCAACTACTGCAGTGAGGAATCGGAGCAACAACCATCACAAGCAACACCACCGTCAGAGATACCTGAAGGGGCGCCTGAGGAGAGCGAAACGGAGGATTCAAGTGGTACTCAAGCCGTTCCAGAAGCGCTGCAGCATGCTTTGGACGCATTTTGTGCAGAGGAAGGCAAACAAGCGTGCAGCAATGGGCTAACAGCTTACTGCAACACTGAAATGTACGCGCGCAAAGATGTGGGAACCACGACTCAAAAGGCAAAGGAGTGGCGTTGCTATGCAGCTAGCGAGATAGACTTTGCAATCTCCGCCGACGTGTGCGCGGACAACTGCGGAAACCTTACTTCTTGCAGTGGCAGTGTGAATGGCTCTTCAACTTCCCACCTGACTCGTGCCCCTCAAATCGAGAACCTGATCAAGACAGAGAAGGAGGTCTACTGCAATGAAATGGGAGTGTCAGACGAACAGACGGAAAGACCGCCGGAGTCGGGGACCCCGCCGTCTTCTGATTCGCAGAATCCCCAATCGGACGCTGAAGTATGTGTAGGCATGCGGAATGATGCACTTCTATTTGAAACGGAGAGATAGCATTAGACTGCGGCTGTTGTACAGGACGGGGATTTCTGCAGGCTGCCAATGCAAGATTGAACTGAGGAAGTACGCATTGTCTCGATTTGGTGCTTGCAGGTGCCTGGGGGTGATTGTCTGCAACATGTTTTGGACGCACGCTGCATAGCAGCGTTTGCCAAGTTATGCGTTACTGACGACAGTATGTGCGAGGTTGCAGTAGCACGAAAGGTTGGCATCAACTGGGGCTGCTACCCACAAAGTGCGCTGGATCTGAGTCAGTCCGGTGAAGGCTGTGTAGATGCCTGCGGAAACGCTGTTATTTGCCGTGGCACCCCGACGGGGACAGCACCCAGCGGCGCCGAAGACGTGCGGTTAGATGAGCTTGTGAATGAGTTGAAGGGAGCTACATGCAAAATGGAGGTGAGATATAGACGAGACGTCTATATTTTTTGGAGTTAAAGACGCTGAGCGTATTGTCTTCACCTGTTATTTGCCGTGGCACCCCGACGGGGACAGCACCCAGCGGCGCCGAAGACGTGCGGTTAGATGAGCTTGTGAATGAGTTGAAGGGAGCTACATGCAAAATGGAGGTGAGATATAGACGAGACGTCTATATTTTTTGGAGTTAAAGACGCTGAGCGTATTGTCTTCACGCTAATCATCGCTCCCGAATACGATGAGGCCAGTCCGTGCTTTCCATGTTTTGTTTGCGCTCCAGGAGAGGGCCGCATTGTAGCCACGCACAAGGAGGAATACCACAATGACGCTGCGCTGGATGGATGGCACAGGCTAATCTGCGCAGCGCGAAGGAACAGTGTTATTAATTATCCCGGCAGCCCCTTCACAGACATGGAGAACATTTCCACTAGTGCAAGTGCTCCAGAACTCAGTGCGCTGTGCTCTTCCTCACGAAGTAGGAAGGCGGGAGCGCATTCATTTGAGGAGATACGGACTGGTGCTCGCACAATCTGTCTAGGGAGGCCCGTTTTTTTTTCTTCAAGGTGGACTGCGTAGGGCAGAGATCTGGCTGATTATACGCAGCGCTTTGAGATGCGTGACTTGGATGGACGTTAGTTCAGATAACCGGCATGTTACAAATATTGCAAAAAAGCCTCCATAGTTGATGGTAGTAAAATGGTGTCCAGTATTGTATTCCAGATTCGTATTCTGGTAACTGAAAAAAAACATTTTTTAAGCTGTCCCCCCTAGTGAACTTCTTGTTTGCGCGAGGGAGTCGTTTTTCTGAAAACACACACACAGACCGAATACTGTGGGCACAATATTTCGTCTTTACGCGTGGAATGAAATACGGTTGCGTTATTCTTTGCGTGGACGGAGGCCAGAGTGCTTAGCATGCATAGCTTGCAGTCCTCGAATCTAGCATCACTTCACAACGTACCAGCATGCAGCAGGACTTGCATAGTGAGCGTTACTCATGGGGAATTGCAGGGTATTAACCGCCTGACCACCTGTACATTCCCACATCTGTATCTGTATCGGGATGGGGCTAGGGTATGAATTCGCGTGACGACGAAAGATACAGTTCACATGAGCAGTTCGTTTCGTGGAAATGAGTTCTGAGGTTGTTTCAGAGTATTGAGCACAGTGGATAGGCAGGTGACCCAACGCCATCCCGCAGCACAACTCATTTCATTCCTGAGTCTCAAGGAGTCGTTAATTTTGACGTGGTAGGGAGGAAACTATTTTACTTGTAAGTATTTTAGCCAGTTAGCAGCCTCATGTGCGCGTCTGCAGGTTTCTAACATGCGAAACTGCTTGAAAAGAGCAATTCGGCATGCCACTGAATCAATATAGTGGGTTCTGTCCGAACTCTTCCAAGCACTTCACTACCTTTGTAGCGTATGTCTTGTTAAATGTTTCTGTATTATTCACATGGATCTCGTCACTGCAGCAATTGCTTGCGCACTAGCTTCGTAAGTTGGTTTCGTAAGACTACGATGGATCGTGTCGTGTTCCTGTGAAAATCAGCTTGTGTACTGAACAATGGGCTGGTTCATTCGCCTTACTTTAGGGGACTAAACGAGCTACAGTAAATCAAGCATGCTCTTACCAGAGTATATTACTAGGCAGTCCCTGAGGTAGGACAACAAGCTGCAAGTGTTTGACTGTTCAGTCGCTTTGCAAACGCCGTGGAGGCATGCAGTTGTGTCATGATCGGCGTAAATACTAATTATTATTCAAAGCACCTCTCCTCACCTCTGACGTTCGTTTTACTCGCACTTGCCGAAGTCAACATATGAACCCAGAACAGGTCGAAGCTCTGGGCTGCACTTCTTTTTTGAAGCAGATGGCTGGAAGTCTAACTTAGAGGGCACATTTGCAGAGGAATCCTGCAAACCCGCTTTAGAACCGGTTAGTTGAAGTGAACGAAATTGAAGGCGCACTTCTGCTGTTTACTCTGGGCATTTCACGTGTACCCAGTTGTTGCGGTTACTTACTGAATCACGGTCACTGAGTACTCAATTTCTGTTTAACGTAAGAATGGCTCATGAGTCCAATAGACACTTCGAAATAGGCGTGCCTACGGCCATTCTCCATTTGCTCGTTCAAATTTTTACTGAATACTTCTTCGTAGGACAGAGTTTGTCAGAGTATAACTCGACGATTTCCTACTTTGGACCATGTGATTGCCTGGGGCTACATAATCGTCTTCATCACAAAAAACATAGATAAGTTGCCGTGACGACCAATCTTCACAGCTCACCGCTGCATCGCTGCTGGCCCTTCATCCCTGTGGACTGACAGTGTCCACCTTGACAGCATCAGACGTTTCGTCACAGCGGCAAATGGATTCTACACCTAAAGAAACAACGATCTAGAACGTTTCCTATTTAGAGGGATGACCCCAGTTCTCGCGTCAGCTGTGTAAAAGCCAGTGAAGTAGAGCTAAGCTGTGGAAGGAGTCATCACAGCAACGAACAGTAAACAACGTGTTCGATCACGTTTAAAGTTGAATCACAGTAACGATTATCACATTGGGAAGATTTTCCCCTAGACTTGCTGGCTTCGGTCCAGCCATGCGTTATTTGATCTAGGCTTCCACATGCATCGGCCACCTGTACCGAAAGTGGTCACCTGTACCGAAAGTATACTTACATCTTTACTGGTTAATTCGAAGGTGCATCGACCAGTGTCGATTAGCCACGGAGTACTACCGGTGATAAGGTAACCAGTAGAGCCAGCTACAGGAAAGCCACCACGTCATGTATTTGGTTGCGCTTTCCTGTACTAAGTGTAAAAGCAAGGCTTGATAGTCTCTTCACTAGGCTACTGGCAGACGCGTTTCAGCCTTCTACAGCCTGAGCCGCATGAGCGGCCACTGACAAACTTCCGCACAGAGCAAGCGTGCAGCTGCAGGACTGCAATGCTTGGCACTATTTAATGCCATTTTGTATACCTACAAGCCCATTTACTGCACAAGTGATGCACTCAACTGCGAAGTGGTACGTTCTACATCTAAAGATCAAATAACAACAGATTGGACGGCAAATGATAGCCAGGGTCCACGCAGCACAAATGGGTCGCTTTTATGCTGGAGATCGCCACGCTGGAAGAACGGCCGTACAAAACGTCGCAGCTTTAGAAGCTGCTGCAGACTCACGAAAGACATTCCAGTTTTACGGCCAAAACCAGGAAATGCTATTGCGCAAGTATGCTACGCAGAGTAGTCGGCGCACAGAGCAAATTTCGTAGCACTCGCTGCGCTATTCTGTTCCGGCACCTGCTGCTAATTACCTAACCTAGGGCCTTGGGTGCCTTTAATTCCCGTAAGAACTCTGGAGGCTTAGGAGGCGCACTATCCAGCGTAATCTCCTTGTCAGCGCCGCGCTCCCGCCAGGATACAGAAGACGTCGGCTCGTTTACCTTCACGTTGGAAGCTGGTGAACCACGTTCAACTGTACTCCGGTGGCTCGAGGAAATCGTCGGCCCATCAGCCGAGCTAATTTTTCCACTGCTATTTAGCGGCGCTTGTTCCTCAGATGGCCCTGCATCTTCTCGTAATGAAATTAACTCAGGGACTGATGACTCTGTCGGGGTAAAATCAATTTCAGCTGGGGAGAGAACAACACTTCTGTCACAATCTTCGATTACAACCAAGCCATGGGGGCCCATGTCAGCCTGAATAACATATCGTCATTCGTGTTCACGTGGAATAAGCTGGTCAGGTTTCATCTCCATGCAATGAGTTCGCCACAACAACACTGTTGCCTCTTCGCCTGTCCGGTTGATTACACAGCCGCGGCGGACAGGACCTTACCAGTGCACGCTCAAAGAACTGTAGCCGCCTCGACAAAAAGTCACTGATTCGCGTCAGTGTTGCATTACGCTGAGTAAAAAAGCAGGAATGTAGGGCCGTAAACGATATCTGAATTCTTTATAGCCGTACACAGAAACCATAGCATCTGCTGATCCTGCTGGCCAAGAAAAAACCTCAGCCTTTCTTATTTGAGTCTGCGCTAGTTTACTTGACTTACCAAAGTCAATTCTTCATTCCGCAACTGCGCCCTTTTGGACTGCCGCTCCAAAGTCTCCCATTTATCAGGAGCATTCTGAGAAGTGTCCTGCAGCAATACCCACATAAATTACGCATGCGAAGTGTTTAAAACTGCTTTGTAGTCCAATTGAAAATACTTCTGTGCGAACATGGTCAACGGCAAGCTCACTTCTCCCATGGCCTGCGTTCCAGCTTCTTTCGTCTCCACGAGGCGGTTCAGCGCGTTTGCGGCTGCGTCAGCCTCGGCGCCTGATCGCACTTCGTTGAGTTGTTTCTGGGCAAGGTACACAAATCAGACCATCCACATGCGCCTTTAGACTTCGTACGTCAAAAATGCCAGGGAAGCTAAGCAGCGCCTTGAGCCGTCATGATTATCGGTCGCAGCATATGACACACCTCCGCTGCTTGCAAGGCCTTCCTCAGTGATTCCTGCTCAGTCATAGCAGCTGCTAAGTCGTTTTCTAGCCTCTGAACCTTGCGATTGCCTTCTGCAGCCTCAGCACGAGCTGCTTCAAGTTGCTTCACGTCGACGGTATCCTGCAGTAGCTGCTGAAGGGCTTGCAGCTCCTCCTCCACACTCCGTAAGCGCAAGTCTTTTTGTTTGCTTGCCTCTTCCTGCCTCTCCAGCATTGCATTGACCTCACCCAGCCTATCGCGCTGGCTGGCTACGTGCTCATCCAGCTGATGCTGCAAGAGCTGGGAAAGGCGTTCCTTCTCCACCAGTCGCTCCCGTAGCTGATGCAGTTCCTCCTCCATTATTGCCTGCACTTCTGCTTCTGGGCAGCTACGTTGCTGCCGAAGCTCTTCTACCTGGAGCTCTAATGTTTTGCAACGCTGCTGCAACCTTTGTGCATCTGACTTTGTGGCTAGAAGCTGCGCTTGCAGGGCAACTGACTCTTTTTGCTCTACTGCAAGAGCGTCCCGTTCGATCTCATAGGCTTCCAGCTGCCTTTGTTTTTCCAGAAGCATCTGCTGTGCCTGCTGAAGCTTTTCAACGACTGCAGCATTCGCTGCCACAATTTTTGCACTCTCTTCGTCCCAGAGCTGTTCAAAGTGACTTCGAAGCGTCTCTTGTTGCTCCTGCTGCTCCTGCTGCATACGCTGCTGCAACTGCTGCTGCTCCAGAGCGTGCTGTTCTCTCAACTGCTGCATCAGCAATGCATGCTTCTCCTGCTGCTGCTCCAGAATCTGGTCACGTTCCTGTTGTAGTCTCTCTCGTT